GACCCCAAAACGTGGCTTTTTGGTACCAGAACCTGGGGCTGGACGAGGATGGTTGAGAGGACACCAGGACACATCTCCAGCGGGGTCAATCCCGAAACGTGGCTCCTTGATGGGTACCAGAACCTGGGGCTGGACGAGGATGGTTGAGAGGACACCAGGACACATCTCCAGTGGGGTCAGCCCCAAAACGTGGCTCCTCACCGGACACGGGACCTGCAGTTGGAGGACAGTTAAGAGAACACCGGGACCCAGCTCTAATGGGCTCAAACCTGAAATGTGGCTCCTCATTGGCCACAGGACTTTGGGTTGGACGAGGGCAGTCGAGAGGGCACCAGGACACGTCTCCACTGGGGTCAACCTCAAAAACGTGGCTCCTCGTTGGGTGCAAGACCTGGGGTTGCACGAGGACAGTAGAGAGGAGACTGGGACAGCCTGATGGGATCAAACCCAAAATGCGGTTCCTCGTCAGATGCAGAAACCAAGGATGGACAAGGCTGGTGGAGAGGGCACCGGGACGTGGCTCTGATGTGGTTGGACCCCAAACCGAGGCTCTTTGTTGGGTGTGGGAACCCGCAGTTAGATGAGGACGGTCAAGAGGACGTCAGGACATGTATCTGGTGTGGTCAACCCCAAAATGGAGCTCCCTCTACAGTGCAAGACAGGGTGTTGGATGAGGGTGGTTGAGAAGGCACCAGGACACGGCTCTGGTGGGACCAAACCCAAACCACAGATCCTCATTGGACACAGGACCTTGGGTTGGATGAGGATGGTTGAGAGGGCACCAGGACACATCTCGGATGGGGTTGGACCACAAAATGTGGCTCCTCACGGGCTGTAAGACCCCGGGTTGGACGAGGATGGTTGAAGGGGCGTGTCGCTGATGGGGTTGGCCTCCAAAACATAGCTCCTTGATGGACGCAGGACCCAGGGATGGAGGAGAAGGTGGTCAAGAGGCCACCAGGACCTGCCTCCAGTAGGGTTCAAGCCCAGAACGTGGCTTCTCATTGGGTGCAGGGCCAGGGTTGGCCGAGAGGTGCTGGGACGTGTCTCCGATGAGGGTCAACCCTGAAACATGGCTCTTCGCTGGAGGCAGGGCCAGGGTTGGCCGAGAGGTGCTG